TTGCATGAAGAAGGGAAGGCCCGAAAGTAGTTCTTGCTGAGAATATAAAGGGGGCCTTATCACACCTTTCCTAATTGGGATTTGGGCGCGCGCGCGGTGAAATCGAATTAGGAAGTCAGTTTAGTTCAGGAGTCCAGTTGGCCAACGTTAGGTAACGTTGGGTCATGTTAGGTCATGTTAGCTGATGTCGGTGCTGCTTTAATCAGACAGGCAACAGGATGGTGCCAATCACGTGTCATAGGGGTGACCCCATGACACTTCGAAGGTCTGCTTCTCTTTTCTTTAATTCCCTGATTTGCTCATTAATTAATAGTATTAATAATAAAGATTCTAGTTTAATAATAGATATAGAGATACTATTATTATATAATTATTCTGATATCCTAATATCAGGCCTATACCTTTATTTTAGTAAAGAGTTATCAGAATTATAAGGGGTAAATATAAGCATGATATCAGGATAGGGAGTAATAAGTATAGATTAGTATTAAAACTGATAACTAAGGAGTAAAACTAAGGTAGACACTATATATAGCTTAAATACTGCTTCCCCCTGGAGCACGTGACCCACGGCCTGAGCGCAGCTGTACCGTGCGTATGTTCCTACTCCGTTCCTCACACAGATAGCCAAACTAAATGCATAAATAGGGAAATAGAGTAGTACCTCTAAAGCTTTATAGACTATATATAAAATAATTAGGATAACTGGCTACCTATAGTAGAATTTACTACTAATAATAGCTGAAATAAGATAATAGGAATAATACTATTCCTAATAAATACTGGCTAGTACCCGCGAATGGGTTTTAAGCCATCCTTTAACAGCCTATAATCTCTAATAATTAGTAATATTAACTACTTTATAAGCCAGATATATAAACTAAACTGACACTTATATAATAAAATAGCCTAGGCCCAGGCTATCTATGCTAAAAAGGCTAATTATAATAGGTAAATAGGACCTAACTACCAGGTAGGCGATCAGGTTTGGCTAAACTTAAAGAATATATATAGCTATCACCTAACTAAGAAACTGGACTAGAAGAATGCAGGCCTATATAAGATTAAAAAAAATATTACCCTATATATATAAATTAAAGCTACCTAGCTTAATATATATATAGCCTATAATTAATATATTAAATTTAATGCTATTAACTAGCTATAAACTACTACTTAGCTAGTAATAGGAGTTACTACCCCTAATCAAGATTAATAGAGAAGATAAATACCTAGTCAAATAGATCCTAAATATATGAATCCACCGCCACTAACTACAGTTCCTGATTAAATAGTATAGATATAATAATCCAGATAATAATACTTAGAAACCTAAAAATATTCTACTTAAAATAGTAGCTCTTATTAAGTATAAAATATAAAATATATCCTATATTAAATAATTATAATATAAGCTCTAAGACTATAATAATCTAACCTAAACCTAAATAACCAAACCTAAATACCTAAACCTAAATAACTAAACTTAAGTGCCTAAATCTGAATAACCAAACCTGAATACCTAAACCTAAGTAACTAAACCTAAGTGCCTGAATTTGAATAACCGGGCCTGAACACCTAAACCAGAATATCTGATAATCTGGACCTGAACACCTGAGCTCGAACTCCTGGAACTCCCTCCCTAGGCCCCTCTCTAGAGGCTTTACCAGTTAAAAGGGGGGTATTATTATAGGGTCACCCCTATAATATATAATTAGTACTATCCTATTACCTATCTGATTAAAGTAGCACCAATATTAGCTAACTGGACTCCTAAACTAAACTGACTTCCTAATTTGATTTCACCACGCGCGCGCCCAAATCCTAATTAGGAAAAATATAATAAGGCCCCCTTTATATTTTTAGTAAGAACTACTTTCGGGCCTTCCCTTCTTTATATAATATCTTTATTATTATACAATACTTTAGTATAGCATAACTGAATAGATAGTTAATAGCCTCATCAGTTTACCTCATATAATAACTTAAGCAGATCACTTCTAGTGGTTCCGTGACAACTTTTAATATAGTTCTAATAATTTCTTTTTAGCTAAATAAGTCTTATTAACTTACTAAAAGTACTAATCTATTTCTCCTATAAATACTAAGTAGCTCTAGAAAATCCTTTTAATATTATATAGAATATCTCCCTTCTTTAAGATATATTGATCAACTTACCTCTAGATCTAGATATATATATTTCTTTTTAAATAAAAAACTATATATATAACTTTCTTCTCTTTAGTTTCAAGCTTATCCTAGTTCTAATAGATATAAATTCTAAGCTAAGACCTAAAAACCTTATATTTAAATTATTCCCTTTTAAAAGGTTTAGATAAGTTAATTTTAGGTTAAACTATATTATTTTTAAATAGGTCTTCACTTCTAGAGTTAGAGTTTAAATTAGATAAATTAGAACTATTAGATAATTAAGTATCTAATAGAATTTCCAGATCTCTTAATAGTAAAGGAAATAATAATAATATTACTATTCTAGATATTAATAGCCTAGTAGTACTTATATTTAAAGTAACCTTAACCTTTTTCTTTAATAGATTAGATTATTATTAACTTCTACTATTTCTCTTAAAGATAGTAGATATAAGATATTATTCCTTACCTTATCTAATAACTTAGTAATTCAACTTTTATTAGAAGTACCTTCTTAATATTAATTAGCTTTACTAATATAAGCTATTTTAGAAGGGTTTAGCTTCCTAGAGTAAAGGAATAAGATATAATAAAAGCTTATTATAGAAGGAATATAATAAGATAGTTATATTTATAACTTAGAATAGTATAAACTTTAAAAGTATAGAAATATATTTAGACTAATTACTAAATAAACTAGATAGTTAAATTATAAAGAGGTATAACACTAATAGAGATAGGATATTTATATAAACCTAATCTTTAGTATCCTTATTACCTTACTTATTCTACTTATTCTATTTAAAATAAGTAGAATAATTATTTTTACTAATTAATGACACCCCGGCTGTTAACTATTAGTTGATGCGCTTATTTTGCTTAAAATAAGCAAAATAATCAGAATCATACCCACATGACTATTCACGTGTTACCTCGTAACAGAGCTATAAAAGACTAAAGCTATAAAAAATAATATCTTTATATTAAAGAATATTTTTCTGTATCTTAAATCTCTCCCTTTCTCTATATTTTTGTTCTTCTTTCTCCTTTTATATCCTCTAAGATTAAGGAGTTCTTTATAGTATATTCGGTTAGCATTATTACTCCTCTCTTTTGGTATATCATACATTGCCATATATGGATAATAAGGAATAGAGTATACTAATATATAGGATATATATACTTAGGTTATATATTATATACCCTATAATAAAGGGATATTTATACTATACTTAGAACTTAGCTTAGTTTAGTTCCTTAGTTATCAGTCTTAATACTTAATCCAGATATACTGTTCCCTATCTTGATATCACACTTACATCAACCTCTTACAACATTGCAGAAGCTGTGGTTATGGATAAATTGAAAACGTCTCAGTTTGCCAACGGGGAGCTAGCCACCGCTGACGGTGTTGATTTAATTCACCTTGTTATCGGAACCCTCTTTGTCTTCATCAGGGCCCAGAGCTGGTACCGGAGCGTATGAGTGGCTCGATTTGACAATTTGTTCAGATACTGGCGGGAGCATAAGATGTGCTTCAGAAGTCCAGGGTATGTTCTGTAATCGACTTCACATGGGCTTCTATCTCTCTCTAATGCTATGCCTTTGGCTCCTGAGCTTGACAGAGCTGGCTTCTTGACGCATGATCCGTTTCGGTGGACCACTGCAGCAAAAGTCTTGTATGGCTATAACATACCCTTTACCAATCCGTATCCGCCTAAAAATTTAACAGTCAATCTTCCTACAGGTTTCAGAAGCGATGGCGATCCATTCCTGCTTGGGTTCGCCTCAGCGCTGTCATCATTCTTATCTTGCAGCGTGAGCATGTATAGCATCTCAGTTGACTGGATTTGAGAGTGGACCGTCAATCATAAAGCTCAATACACTTCTCAGCATTACATATCCATTACTTATCTCTCAGGAGCAGACTCGACAGCTCCGCGACTCATTATATGCTGCTTACGCCGCTCAGCATGATGACCGTCCACCATTGTCGACCCAGTCCCACTAACTCGCTGGTTATTTGGGGACAACAATTTGGATACCATAGCAGATACTAATACACACAAGACCATATTCATGAATCGGTTCGGTCGAAATGTGCTCGTAACGAGCTCTGAGACATACTCCGATAAAATTCTCCTCTAGGTGGGCTCCAATGCGAACGTGAAATACAGAAACCAGTACTTCATGCCTCCTGCAACACCTTTGAGTTAAGGCTAACAGGATCGGTGTTATGAGCGAGGCACTCGATCTTGTAATAGCTTTAGGGAAGGCCAAATATAACTCAACAGTTACGGGCTATACAGGATTTCATCCTGTACCAGTAGATAATATGGCTGCAAAAGATTGTGATGGAATGCTCTTCTGCTTGGTTGAGGATTTTGTTAACGCTGGTATCGTCATGGCCAGTTTGGCAAGCCAGAGTAATACCGTGTGGGTGGATATGCTATACAGGAGGCATGTTCAATGACGACGGTAAGAATGTCCATCTAAGCGTGAGAAGCAGGGGCAAATTACCTCATGAGCTTTGTTTGGATGTTAAGGCAATTATCGAAGCATAGATGAACCAATTCCATTAATCACACGTCATGTCCATATTCAAGATCGCAATAAAATTGTAAGTCTTGCATATGTAGTAGCAATGTGTCGCTCGCAATTATATCGACGGGTAACTACACCTATTCAATGTGACCAGCAACCTCTATACCCATCTCTTCATCCAGAACAGCTCCAAGACCTGCGCTTTGTCTACGTTCTCCAGAGTTTACTGGCGGACGTGATGCAATCTTCTTGCGAAGCTCCTCTGCCTTTTCAAGGGATTCTAAAAGGGTGCTAGGCGATTGTTAGCAGCCGAAGCATCGCTATAGGCTACAACATACTCGATTTTCCCATGAACTGCGTATTCCATGTTGGCCATTTGCTCAGCGAACTCAACTTGATGATTGTCAAGCAGAGTAGGGTTAGGGACGACAATAACAGGCACCCCAATTCGGATAGCGTCAAGGACAGAGCCAGTTCCTAGAGAATATTAACATTTGTATGCCAAAAACACTCCAAAAGTGTTTTACCTGCATGGCATATGACAATGCCTTCACGACGTCCTTGTTCCGCACGCGTAAGTCGCATTGCCTCTCGCAGTTTCCTTGTCAGATCAAATCCTTGGACCTTTAGCCCGTAGATACCGTTTCTCCCGATGGCTACAGCGAGGTCTGTGAAGAGCTGTCTACCATCTTTTCCAAACTGTACAAGAATATTCGTATAGCCTTGTTTTGCAAGTGCTTGAAGAAAACTTGCGTCAAGGACTGCACGAACAAGAGCATCAAAAGCAGCCGTTGCACCCACAGTGACAAAACAATATCGCTCGAGCATGGCTATTATCAAGTTTTCTTCATGAACAAGGCCCTAAAGGGCGAATCAAACGTTCGCCTAGCCCATAAAAGTAGGTCTTGAAGGAAGGACCAGCTTAGGCTTAAGCGAATTGATTGCGGAGTTGGTCGGAGGTTGCCGAAAGGGGTCACAAAGTTCGAAAGCTGCTTAGTGAGACCATCGCCAGATGAAGGATTCGTCCACCCCATTTCCTTCATATTGTCTGTTGAGAGTAGACATGAGTCCCACGGCGGGCCGTCTGGTGTCCACATCATATCTACAGATAATATCATCGACATCAAGATGTCGGATGCGAGTGGGCAGGCTGCACCCGGTTCGACGGCCCAAACAATCTGCAATATGGAGCAACCACCAAACGTTCACAACTTCGCGCCTATTGTTATACGAGGAAAGCGAAAAGCTAATCCGCGAGCCACTATCAAAAGCTCTTCCTGCCGAGTCTTATGTAAGATCGTTTGCACCAAATAAACCTGCCCCAACTTCCGTTCACGTCGACATGACTTTAACCACTAATGCCGAATGCTCAGGAGATTGACAAATCAAACACTGTTCACGATGATATCGCTTCAGCTAATGCATTTGATGATCGAGATCTCGATGCAGTCGAGCCGACATCTCCGATGGAAGAGGCCAATGGAGTGACAAGTTTTTCAGCGACCCGCGAAAGGACTAGCATAAGGAACGTTACAGGTACTCATGTAGATGTAGAAAGAGCGACAATACTTGCCCATGGAGAGTCTGAATCCCGCAGAGATCTCAAGGAATATGCAAAACTGGCGGCGTGGGAGCTGCCACTACTTCATAGTGCGACATCGTTTTTCATTAATGTGGTAGGCATAGCTAACGGTATCAAATAGAATTAAGACAGCCTTTCCAACCTCCCTCGTCAGCTACACCACTTCGCTTTCGTTATACGAGCTATATGGGCGAAGATCATCCGGCTGCGAAGAAAGTTACAGTCGAATTTAACCCCTCCGAGCTCCCAAACTTAAATGAGGAACAACAAGTCAAGCTAATCAAGCTTGTTGGTGCGCGTTACAATCCAGAAAAGAAAACAATCAAAATGTCTTGCGAATCATTCGCGACTTCGGCACAGAACAAACGCTACCTCGGCGATCTCCTTCAGAAATTAGTCCAAGAAGCTAGAAATTCAAAGGACATGTTTTCAGATGTTCCGATTGATCTTCGGCACCACGTGCAGAAGCCGGTGTACAACTTTCCCGAAGAGTGGAAGATCTCTCCTCCCGTGAGAATAGTGAACGGCAAAGGTATGCGAGGAAAGGGACTGCAAAAACGCGGAAGGCTTCAGGAACTTCAAGAAGGTGGTCATGTTGTGGATGGCGTAAAGATTATTCGAGAGGCCATGGCGGCTTTACCACTGCAAAAAATCAGGCCGCAATCAGGAGGGAAGACGGTTCTTGGGTCAGGCAAAATCAAAGTGTCAGCAAAAGGGAAACTACGGACAGCCCCAGGTACAACATGATAATTAAACCCCCATGTTTTCACAGCGAAGAACGCTAGCCGCTTATTAATTGCAAAAGGCTGCTTAAAATCAAACGTCACAATTTGTAATTTACATGTTGGTTGCTATAGTATAAAAACAATTAAAATATTCTGGATTCATTTCTATTATGAGATTCAAAATATTTACGAAACTCTCACGCTAAAGCTGTACACTGAAGCCACTAAAATTCGCGAGACTCACAAGAAGCCATTATTGTCACGTGACATCTAAGGAACATTTCCGTATTGAGCACCTTCTTCATCAAAAGTTCAAGAGAGCTACACATCGAACTGCATAACCCCTTCTGCCCCCCATGGCATCGAGGGCAGTGCAGAGGACGTTCCTTGAACCAGGTATGCAATGATGACACCATTTTCGAGCAGGTTGTTCTAAGTTCATCTTTCAGGTCACAGTCTCAGCCATTCGATCAACAGCATCTGTCCTCCGTGCCGATTCGCGTCTCTTACCATTCGGCATAGCCCCCGTCTCAATTACTCATCCAATACTGCAGAGAGCCGCAGAGAACCTGAAAACCACATAAATAGTCATTTGCAAAAGTACCTAAAGAAGGCACCATCCTCACTTCTACAAAAAGAGTTGGACAGCCAGAAGGAGTGCAAAGAGACAGAAAGCGCAGACCTCATTGCTAGAGGCCTGCCCTCAAAAGAGTCAATTTTCGACAGTCATGGAGAATCTCCATCTGTTGGCGAGCAGGCAATCAATGTCCCGCAGCCGTCATATGAACTGATTGACCCTGAAGCGTTGCTGAACGTGTTGGATCCGGAGCCTAGTAAACGGCTTTCATGGCAAAGGAGGAAGGTGATACAGCAAATACGCAAGAGGGGGGAATTCACTAAAGCCGAGATTATCAAGCGAACTGAGAGGGAATGTATGGTCAGTAGTGCTATGTTCAAAACGTCGACAAAGAAGCTGGTCCATTTGGCTCGCCAAATTGCGGGAAAACCCATCGATGACGCCATTGCCCAAATGCAACTGAGCAAAAAGCGAGTTGCTCAGGATATCATGAAGCACCTGGAGTACGCGAAAACGTTGGCGATCGTCAGTCGCGGCATGGGCTTAGGGAAGGTCGAGAATAGAGCTGGCGAGCCAGTTGAGATCGAAACAAAGAACGGCAAGAGGAAGCTTGTCACTGATCGCACGAGTATCTATGTAGATCAAGCTTGGGTTAACAAAGGCGACCACACCATAACTGCTGAGTATAGAGGCAAGGGAAAAGTTTATCGCCACAAACACCGGACAGCCAGTGAGTATGGCCACTATTCTATTGGACGCAATGTTGACAGACAATGCAGAAATTACTGTTCTGTTGAAAGAAGAGGCAACAAGGGTTCGACAATGGCAGGAACGAGAAGAGAAACTCAAGAACAGGAAGCTGTGGTTGCATTTACCAGACAGACCGATTACGTTACAAAGACAGTATCCTCTCTGGTAGTGTGGGACAATGATGCATCCATTCTTCTGTAATATATGCTGCGCCGAGAGTGAATGAGCCTTCAATGTTGTAATTATGTAAATGCCACAAGCATGCACCATGGCCTGCTCAATTTCATGCATTGTCGGATTTCCAGGCCTGTCAGTGTACAAAATAAGCATCTCAGTGTTCATTGAAACGAGCGGGTTCTCAGAAAGTAGAACAAATGTTTCCGTTCCTGATAAAGGTAATACGCAGATTTGTACCATATGCCTCCTGCCAAGAAAACAAGAAGCGTCACCTCCATAAGCCCCAATGTTCAATACAATTAAAGACTAAAGAACTCCCAGTTTCTATCGTCGCCACACTTCTTTTGATCGAGCCAAGATCAGCCTTGCTCATGACTTGAATATTCCCCGCTGATAGCGACCGCAGCGGGTGTTGGTGATAGGACAGAAAGCGCCGCAGTCCAAGCTTAAGCGAGCGTGTTTTCGGAAGGCACAACATCCGATCAGAATCTTCTGTATCCCTCTCAAGATGCCAATTTTAGGCTATCTGGCTACTTTCTTCGCGGTATTCAAATGGGTCAAAATGCTTTAGTGCGCATATCCCAGAAGCTAGTTTCGGCCTACTCGGTGGTTGAGCGTGCGAGTGTATTGTCTGGGGCTGTTTGTTCCCATGTGAAGCAGGATGTGTATCAAGCTTTATCCTCAGCCGGAGGGCCACGCCAACACCCAAGCTGCACATTCAAGAAATACTGTCCTGAGGCGGAATTCGTTTCCTAGTTTCTAGTCTCACTCTCTCCCTCTCTTTCTCTCCCTCTCTTTCTCTCCCTCTCTTTCTCTCCCTCTCTTTCTCTCTCTCTCTTTCTCTCCCTCGCTCTCCCTCAAGGTCTACGTGTTTATTGCCAGCCCGAGCCACAAACGTCCCACCTGTTCTTTCTTCTACCTTATATCAATCACTCTTACTTCACCATTTCAACGAGTTCCGATTACATTCGACATCCAATCAGTCTCTTCCGGTTTTATGCGACAATATATATCCAGTTCAATAAATTTGACGTGTTTACCACCATCCGATGGATTGAATTATCCACTCTCTTCCAATAATCCATTCCGTGTCGTAGCTTTGCGGTTGACACGGTGATTCCTAGCCTTGGAATTCTGCCTTCTCCCCCATCATCGGAGGAGCGACATTCGAAGTATTGTGACGCGATCAAAATGGTGCTTGAGTCATCATCAAAAGTACTTCCACAACCTACTGTATTTCTTTCCCTTTGCTTTGTCTTGGTCTCTGTCATATATTCGTTCGCTACATCGTATGAACGATTACCCACAACTATACCATGGATAGGCAAGGACGCCAGCAAACTCTTTGCGGAGACCCGTGCGCACTTCGCAAGTTTTAGCCGTATTAGACAATGGCTTAAGATTGGTTATGACAAGGTGTGACCATAAGAATAAAAGCTTTAATTTTAACTGACGGTATAAAAGTATTCTTCGAAAGGCCAAGCATATATATTGCCAGATTTTTCAGGAAAGCCAGAAGTTATAATACCAAACAGTGAAATTCGTTGGTTGTTGGACCAGGTAAGTCAACTTCAACGTATACACACGACTATTGCTCATTAAGCAACAGCCAGACACTGTCTTGTCTGCAGCTGCTCTGCATTATGACACACTTGCTGGAGCATATGCATTCACGCATCCTAGAATTTTAAGAGAACCATTCCACGAGCATGTCGTCCATCGTAACATGGGCCGACGGATTGGAGATCTTATAGAGGATCTTTGGGATGAGATAGGTTGTGCAATAGATGATACATGGGGCAAAGACACAGGCATTTGGAAAGAGGTGTGTGTTTTCGACAATATGATGCACATTATAGCGCGGGCATCGAATCGCGTCTTTATTGGCCTTCCGCTATGTCGAAATGAATTATACTTAAAGTCCATGGAAGCTTTTACGGGCGACGTCAGCACGGCCATCATCTTGCTGCGTTTTGTTCCACGACTTCTAGAGCCTTTGATCGGCAGGCTGATAGGATTACTCAGCATGCACCATTACAGACAAAGCGCTTCTTTGCATCTACCCGTCATCAGAGAACGACTTGAGAATATGGCTCGCAAGGATACTCAACAAGACTTCGAATGGGACGAGCCAAATGATTACCTCAATTGGCATATTCGACTCGCCCAGAAGGAAGGAAATAAAATCGAGTTGGAGCCCGAGATGATCAGCAAAAGGCTAATGCCAATAAATTTTGGCGCAATTCACACAACCGTATTCACGATTACAAACTGTCTTTTTGACCTTCTGGCCTCCCAACCCTACGGTGAGGACAGGAAAACGCCCGTGGAGGTCATTCGGGAGGAGGCTGAGGCAAGGTATAAAGCGTGCAATGGAATTTGGTCTAAAGCATCTGTAGCACATCTTGTTTACACCGACTCGGCAATACGAGAGTCCATGCGTGTCTCTGGTTTCGTAACGAGGGGCCTGCAGCGAAAGGTGGTTGCGAAGGATGGTTTAGAACACAAGGGTCTGGGATTCAGACTGCCATTTGGCTCGACTGTCTCTGTTGATGCGCACAACATCATGCATGATACCCAGATGTATGAAAACGCAAATTCCTTTGATCCGTTTCGTTTTGCACGACAACGTGAACGAGAGGATATGTTGGTGAAAGAGCAGAGGAGAGAATGGAAAACGGCTACTCTGGAGAGCAAGCAGCTGAGCTGCTCCTCGACTTCAGAGAAGTTTTTGACCTTTGGTCATGGACGCCACGCGTGTCCTGGTCGTTTTCTTGTGTCACACGAACTCAAGTTGCTTTTGGCATACGTCACTATGCACTACGACATTGAGTCGCTGGAGTCACGACCTCCAAATACATGGTTCGGTCAGCACATCATTCCGCCTATGAAAGCCACAATTCGCATCCGAAGACGGGCGGAAGACACTCTTGGTTAAGAGTGGCGTTGGCTATACAATTTGTGCAGGACCGTCTGTATATAGATACCCACATTGTGTTGCGAGCCTACAGGACATGTTGCATGGTGCATTTGCTACGATAGCCAGACACAAGCCGAGCTTCTGGACTGAATAGATGAAATTGAAATCACGAAGCATACCGCATTTTCTGTTATCCTAATCAGCTCAAGAGCTTCGAAAAGCCGTCGTTAGGTGGTTGAAGCCAGTTTCTACCATCGTACTCATTCTCACCCTCAATTATGTGGAATGTATATATAAATCGACTTTTTCCACTTAGATTCTTTTCACTCTTGTGAAGAAGATTGCCATGTATCAGAACAAGTGTGCCTGCCTTTACCTCGCCAACGGTGTATTCTCCAGGACTGTTCTCCTCCTCGTCCATGAACCGAGTTGCGGAAGGAAATTGCGGTCCTGTATTGTCCACGAACGTGGTCGCTTGCCCATTCTCTGATCTCACAAACCGTTTAAGAACAGGAGCTCGCTTGTGAGAACCAGCAACAAAGGACAGGCACCCATTTGAGGCAGTGGCATCTTCGAGAGCATACCAGAACCCAACGGCCGATGGAGGGTTGGTGTATAGGAAAGTCGAGTCCTGGTGAGGAGGTACTGCGCCGCCAATTTCGGGTTGCTTGCAAATGACCATGCTCTGTAAACATCGCGGGTCTTTGAAGCCTAAGCTACGAGCTATGGCGTAATTCCTACTATTCAAAGATATTTCCTTGAAACTCGGGGAAAGCTCGTGTAAACAATGTCCAATCTTGTTAATTGACATCTCTTTTGGTTTGAGAAGCTCTCCCGATGCGGTGAAGGCATCTTCTTCAAAGAAGAAACAAATTTTATTGCCAGAAGTGAGAAAATATCCGTCTCCCACATGGTCTTTGCCATCTTTGCCACCTGTTGAAAATTTCGTCATTGGGTGTGAAGAGATATCAAAGTTTGAGAGCAGTTCGCGTGTTTCCGCAAGCAGCGACGATACAACGGGGGGCGGGAGTGCATCGGGGATGATGAGATAGCCATTCCGTTCCCAAAAATCCAGCTGTTCTGATGTAAGACCTGTAGACTGAGTCGAATCTATCATCGTGGTAGAGCTTAAAATATTTTTGGAAACGACGTATGTTGCTTAATTTTTGTGATAGACAAAGATGTATGACTGTTGAAGCTCACGGAGACTTGGCGTAGCATATTTAGGGTCCACTTGCAGGGACCAGGTCCACACCACTACCATCTATGTTTAAGTCTCATTTTCTGATACTACCCTAAAATCCAGCTGAATATTCCTAAGCAACATAAACTTCATCATGGTTGGCGATATATCAAAACCTGAAATACCAACCTGGCGCCATATATTAGGATTCCTCGCTGTTGGCTTAGCCTGGGGCTTCACTACTCCTTTTATAAGGCTCGCATCACTAAGGTCTGAAGGACTTGCAAGACCGTACCAATCGAATTCGAACATCTCACCGACAAAAAGACGGTTGCTGGATACCTTCTATGCAATTCACAACATTGTATTAAGGCCATCCTACTTTGTGCCGTTGTTACTCAATCTCTCTGGGAGCGTGTGGTTCTTTCTGTTGGTTGGTCAGGCTGAGCTCAGTCTTACCGTGCCCGCGACAAATTCTCTTGCATTCTTATTTACCGTCTTAGGAGAATGGATGGCAGAAGGCAGAGTCATTGGCAGGGGTCAGTATATCCAGATTCATCATTATCGAACGCTGCTCACTAAAATAGATGCGTGGGTTGGCATGATTCTTGTCTTGCTTGGCATCTGTCTTTGTGTCTATTCAAAGATCTGAGAAACCAGATGTGCGCCATCTCTATGTCACGGGATTTCACCTTGACACATGATAGGCACCATCCTGTTACCTCAATATAGGGTCTAGACCCCAAATATGCAACAACCCCAGATTTGCAACACTAAACATATTCTTATCATACTTTAGACACGTTTATTGCTCTAATGCCACCTTAAAGATTTAAAAAACCAGTAAATTATAATATTAACTTATAAAGGCTATTTATATATATTAATATTAAGAATTTTCTTCTATTAACGTGATTCACAAGCTAGTGCGACACCCAAGCTAGTGCGACACCCAAGCTAGTGCGACACCCCTTAGGCATTAAAATCTTTTAATAAGGATATTATTATATAATTACTGTTAGGAATACTTTCCCAGTACCGACTAGCTTTACTAATATGAACCATTTTGGAAGGGATAAGCTTCTTAGAGCAAAGGAATAACATATAACTTGTCACGCAACCACCCTTTGCGCATGAGGATCGCTCAAAAAGACAGGCTATACTAGCTCAATTAGCTAGTATAGCTGGGTGATATAATATATATACCCTTACATAACTAAAGCTTATTATAAAAGGAAATATGATAAGATAGTTATATTTATAGCTTAGAATAGTATAAGCTTTAAAATATAAGAATATATTTAACTAACTACTAGGGTCTAGACCCCAAATATGCAACAACCCCAGATATGCAATACTAAAATTAAACCACTACATTCGCAAGTACCGCGCCATACCTATATATCACTGAACCATCTAAAAT